CTCATTTCTCTCAACCGTATATGCTTTGGCCGTTCGCTACGGGGGAGAAGACACATCTGACATTTGAACAACTTTCTGACCTGGAAGGGCACTCATGACCATATCTTCCTGAGACGGAGGTAGAGGCTTCATAGGTCGAGCATAGATTCTGCGCTATACACCAGCAGAGCCCAGAAGTTCAAGATGTCAGCTTCGCACAACGGGCGGATGGAACATTTAGGGCTACAAGCTATGTTACGTTTCTACTTTGGTTTAGGAAGGCCCAAATTGAGAAAAGATCTCAAAGAAATCATCCAAGGTATCATACCTATATGCTAGTCTATCCAAACGTTAAGTGCCTCAATGTAGTTCTCTGGCCTCGCGAGGGTATTGGACGGAGACAGCCGGCCGCCAACACATTGCCATCGACTGCATGGCCACGAACCTACCAGTAGGTCAACATAACCGCTGGGAAGTAATAACAAAGAGGAGTCTTCTTTTGACCTACCAAACCCCGTGAGCTTCTTGGTTTCTTGTGCCCGTATTCGTGCAGAGATACGTACGCATAGACAACTGGTGTTCACCTACGAAAGTCTGCTTTCAGACACACCGCCATTATATGTGGCGCATGTTCAGTATTATGAACGGGAGAAAGAGAGTACTTTGGGAAGATTGGGTGAGTTCGAGTGACAATGGACCAGTAGACAACACCCTTGAGAGACGATGAACAGTCTTGACTAAATGAAATCGGGACGGCATACTTCAGGCATTTGAGCATAGGGACAAGAGACATTCGACCTGACAAATGTGATGATATTGCGTTTGATTAGAGACTAAGTTCCTAGTTATATGTGTAGGGCGGAGTTGGGTATCATAATTGTAATTGTATTTCAACGAGTGGATGATGAGACGTGCGAAATCGCGCCAACTCCGAGCAGATGCAAGCGGGAGGAAAACAAAGCGCCTAGACTCTAGCCCTCTTCTAAGCGGACGTCGTCGATCGTCGCCAGATCATGAAAGCCGCAACTCCAGCGCAGGCCGTCGCGCCCAGGGCGAGATAGAGGCTTGTACGGTCTGGCGGCTCCTCTTCGCTCCGAGGGAAAGCGGTGCTGGGATTCGTCGCCGCCTCGGCAAGGGCAATGAACAGCTCGCTGATACTGGACCACTTTACTGTGACGTGAAGGGGCGTGCTCATCATGAGGCTTGACGTGTACGTGTCTGGCTGCGTCTCGCTGCGCTGCGTTGTCTTGTCCTTGTCCGCCTTCAGAGCTGTGTAGATGTTGGGAAGGTCGTCCAGTTGCGGGTAGCGCTTGCGCAGGTCGACGATGTGAGAGAAGGAGTCGGGATCCGAGGAATCGTACGTATAGCAAATAAGGTCGCAAGCGTCGAGCTTGGCCTGATTCTCCAAGATGGCGGGCTCGAGCTCACCCAGCTCTTCCATAATCATGTAACACTGCTTGCCGCCAGGAAGCTCTACGCTGTTGACGGCTCGGCGCGGCTTGATCGTCGGTCGGTGGAGAGTGTCAAACGGCCTATTCAGGAAGGCGTCCAGCAATGAAGATTTGCCGGCCCCTGAAGCACCCAAGACGTAACACAGCACGACATTGCGTTCTACCTTGCCTGGGCGTCTCCTGCGCTTGCGCGACTTGGTCACCTTCAGAGCAGCTGTCGTGGTTTCCCTGGCGGTTGCAGGTTCGAAGCCAAGGTACGCCAGATACTCGAGCGTGGTCTTGGGCTCCATAAAGGTGGTCATGCTCCATTGAGCGAGCCATCCTTGCAGTGTGACGTGCCCAGCCTCGTTGCGTACGGTCGACGATGGGAAGGATGTTTCGATCCAGGAGGCAGGAAGTCCTGGCGTCGGCGCGAAGAGGGCCTCTAGCTCTTTGTCGTTGAGACCTCCATCGTTGTCCTTGTCGAATAGCAAGAACAAATCGACGAAGAAGCGATAGCCAGCCGGGCTCAGTTCTGCTGATGAATACTCGGGTACATCAAACTTGGGTCGCAAGAAGCTGTCTTCCAAGCTCAAGCTGTCTGTGTAGCGGAACTTGCGCAGTATGATCCATATCGTCTCGTGCCGACCCTTCTCCGCGTAGAGTTTGTTGAGTTGCAAGAACCCGCTCTGGTCGATACCCTTCTCGGTCGATAAGTGCGGGACAGACTTGCCAATCGACAGCTTAATGTTCTCGAGATCTTCGGGAGTTAGGGGCTTGTCGAAGCACTTGGACTGGAAGTTGTGCATCTCTTGATCGTTGAGCCACCCGTCTTGGTCCTTATCGCACAGGTAGAAAATGCGTTTGAGGGCGTCGACACAAGCCGGCTTCAAATTCCCCTCCTTGTAATCGAACAGCGGGGCGATGGGGTGGGTGACGGCCTTTTGGCATAGGAAGAAAACTTCGTTGACGTTGCGGTGCTCCCTCGCGCTCGAGCGGATGCACGAATCGATCTCGCGGAACTCGGACATAACAGGAAGCATCTCGCCTTCGACCACCTGCGGCGTGTTTCCTTCGCCCGTCAGGTCGGATTTATTCGCACAGAGCACGACTGGAACATTGACGCCGAGGGAGCGGAAGTAAGGCATCCAGAACAGGGCGACGCGCTCATAGCTGTAGTGGTCTGAGTAGACGAGGAGGATGACGTTGCATTTTCGTATCTCTTTCCTGAGGGTTGTTCGGTCCTGAGGGCGGGCAGAGGTGTCGACAATAGTGGTCGTTACGTTCTCGGGGGTGCCCAGCTGTGGAGGGATCGTGATGGAGGGGAGGACGGATTGGATCTTATTGGAGATGAAGACATCTTTGACGAGCGACGCAATGAGGCTGGACTTGCCGGTGCCCTCATCACCGCAAACGCAGATGCGCACTATGGAGTAGCAAACGTGGTCAGTAGGAAGCTTGACAGAGAGAACAGCGGTGGAATGGAGCTCAGCTCCTCCTCGTCAGGCCACCTACCAGAAGCCATGGTTACGGTATTTACAGCTCGAACAAATGCTCCTATTGCGAATCCATGGCAGGGTCTATGGTGAATGACTGCTACAAGGAGGTCGATTTGATGAAGCGGATCGCCGTTTGAGGTGGGAACTGCTGGCTGAAGATGGCTGCTTTTTCTTGATGGAATTGGCCCAACGGGCTTGTAGAAGCTTTGGAGCGGGTAGGACGGGAGCTGCAGGTCGACGGGGATGACGACCTGATTTACAAGGATGGGTCCGGTGGGGTAGGTGGGAAGGCACTGATAGCACAGCGGCCAGCGCGTCTGGCGATGCAAGTTACGGTCACCAGGGAGGTCACTCACGCTGAAGCATTTTGATGGATTACGTAAGTTTTCCTGGAATAAGACACAATATCAGCTTCTCTTCGTACACTCTCGTGAAGAACAAGAAGGGAGAACCTAAATCTTGGTGGTTGCGGGCCCCGTACGAGACTCGCAGAACTCTCACACCTCTCCTTTTGCGTTCAGCGGCCATGCTAGAAACATGTGCTGGTACTTACAGAGCTGGGTCATTCTCTTCATTTCTTACTTCAGGTACCTAGGTTCCATACCCAAGAAAACAATATGCTTCAAGACAGGCAGTCCCGGATAGATGGCTCCGTGTGCCCCAGACCGAGACATGTCTTTACGTAAGTTTTGGACCCCATTCAACGAACTCTTACGGATTGGTTTAGCAGTGACATCTCAAACTTTGACCACAATGGTTTGTGATGTATCAGGACAACCCATTTTTGCCAGATGAACTCTGAGTATATATCAACTTGATCTTATTAACTAAACTTCATCTGAGCACATTCGGTCTACGAACTGGTCTTGAGAATTACAAAATACCTACAGCACCCCTGCCTCGTTCTTCAACCTTCTTACCCCACACTTTACCTAACATGCCGTTGTTGTTGTTTCCTCCAGAATGAACCCATAGTCAGGGACACTGGACTCTTCTGATGCTGGCCGGGTTGTTGGGGAATAGGTACACTATATCCGAACTATAGTATTCCTCCCCACAGTCTGTCAGTCGGGGATCCTCCACTCTTCCCTCCACCCCTCCCATCTTGCATCCCCATCCCACCACTCACGTCGCAGCAATCCTTCTCCGCGTCTGACCCGGGGGCCCTCGTTCCCCTGGAATAAGCCATGCCCCAATACCCCCAACCTGCAGTATCGCTTTCCCCTGCCACGCTTGCTGACCTGCCACGCCTCCCCATGAAGACAGAGCCCTGGTGTTGGGAAAATGGGGATAATTGGCACATCCGCCGGGGGGTAAGGTAAGAAATCATGTGCGAGAAATGGGCGGGGAACCCGAATTGGAAACGAGCAGGCGCAGCCTTGGGGGTTCTTGACTGATTGTGGAGGGTTGTGGTTGGCGCGCACCTTTACACTCCTTTAGCCTGGGACGAACCAACCCCGGATCGGAACCGAACCCGCCTATTCGTGCCTACACCTACCTTACACCTTCAACCTCTCTCTTTCTTACCTACTCACCTCGCTCTGTTAATAAGGTGCTACACCACCACCACATCCCTCCTCCGCGCCGCACATGAACTCCTCTTGAGTTCATCTGGTCATTCGCGGCGACACATCTCCGCTGCCTTCTCCCTGTCCACACCTACCCGTCGCGCCTGACTTCCACCGTCCGATCGTCGAACCCTCACCAAAAAGCCGTCCGTCTCTTTCTGTCACTGCCGTTATACGTGCGACCTTCCCGAAACGTCGACCTTGTCAGCCTCGGCCGTCGCCCGTCACCCGTCATCCGATTACCCGTTATCAACAAGGCCCAGGAACCTCCACTCGCGGGGCCGCCAGTGACGTGAGGCGGAGCCGATCAGAACGCACCCAGACCACCGTCCCGAGCGCCCGACGATAACCACCTCCAACCACCTCACCTTCCGACGTCGCGGTTCAACCCTCGCGTGCCTTTGATCGATATTTGCCCACGTAGCAATTGAACACCGCAATAGATCTGGATCATACATAATACTAGCCCATCATGTTGTGAGTTTACCCGACCTCGGCTGGTCCTTGCCCGCGGACAAATTCAGCCAGCACCTATCCAAACCCAGCCGTCCAACCTGCGCCATACCAAACATCACGCAGGCACGAGACAGCATTTTCCAGCCTCGTTCCAGCCGCACACTCCAGAAAACTTTGCCCACAATGTTGGTATCTTCAAAGACAGAGCAGCAGCTGACAATTGCACTCCGTGCGACACCAAAAGCGTCCTTCCCCCTCCCCCGCGATACCCCTCGCACTCGGGCGCCTACGGCGCAATCGGCGCCGGCATCGCCCCCATGATCGAGACGAACAACATTCTCTCCAACCCCGAAGGCCCTGACTACCAGTTCCTCGTCGGTGAGGGTACCTACGTCCTCAAAGAGTGCCTCCATCTCGCCACACCTCCACCGCATCCCTCTGAGGCCCCCGTCGTCAATCCGAACCCGCTCGCCACGACGCCCCAGCCCGCCTCCGCTGGCACCAAGCTCTCCCTCATATCTCTCGACGTCCGCGCCGCGCCCCCCTTCTTCTACAACAAGGGCGCCAGCACATCCACCACGCTCTCCTCCTCCCTCGGCGGCGACATCCAGGAGCACCCTAACGAAGGGCGGTATTCTACCGAGGCAGGGCTCAGCAGCGATGGAGGGGACGGCCGCGGTGCCTCCCTCAGCGACGGCGTCGCGCCCCCGACGTCGTCATTGACCATGGTGTCGGCTCCGGCATTCGGGGACGGAAACTCGGCGCTCGCGCCGGCCAATACTAAGGACGCGACCAAGAAGAAGGTGGCCAAACCCAAGAACAACATGACCAAGAGCAACTCGTCCTTCATTTCTAGAGTCATTGTGAACGAGAGCTTGGCCAAGAAGCTTCAGGAGCGGCCTACGGACGGCGTTTTTGCGTTTGCCAATATCAATCGAGCGTTTCAGTGGCTGGATCTGTCATCACCAACAAAGGTTGGGCTTCCCACGTATCGACGTTGCTGCGGATCACTTTACTGACGAGGTTGAAGGCCGACTACTTGACCAAGATTCTGTTTACAAAGGCTCATTGCCTGTGTCACGACGTGAACCCCATCACCAAGAACATTGCTCATATTGATGTAATCATGGGCTTCTCAACGGGAGAAATCATCTGGTGGGAGCCTGTTTCTCAACGGTATACTCGGTTGAACAAGAATGTAAGTCTTGGAAACCGCACTTTGAAGCGTGTGAAATCAGGTAGACTGACCGTGCCCCAGGGCATCATCAACGGCACACCGGTATCAGAGATCCGTTGGATACCAGGCTCCGAGTCCCTCTTCCTAGCAGCGCACATGGACGGCTCGCTGGTGGTCTACGACAAGGACAAGGAGGACGCGCAGTTCTCCCCAGAGGAGGAGCAGCTTGCGACCAACGGCTCGTCAACAAACGGAGAGAGCGATTCGTCGACCAACGGCGTCAACCACAACCTCAAGATCCAGATCAACAAGTCTGTCCACTCAAAGAACCAAAAGACGAACCCCGTGGCATCATGGAAGCTGTCGAATCAGCGCATCAACGCGTTTGCTTTCAGCCCGGACAATAGGCACCTGGCAGTCGTCTCGGAGGACGGCTCGCTCCGCATTATTGATTACTTGAAAGAAGAGTATGTTTGAGAGCTCTGCCGATGCTCTGGCGTGACTTGCCCTAACTGACACGACACAGGTTGCTGGATCTCTACAACTCGTACTACGGCGGCTTCATCTGCATCACATGGTCACCGGACGGTAAATACGTTCTGACGGGAGGCCAAGATGACCTCATCTCCATCTGGTCCGTCGTAGACTCGGCCATTGTCGCCCGCTGTCAAGGTCACCAGTCGTGGGTGACATCGGTGGCATTCGACCCGTGGCGTTGCGACGACAGGAACTATCGGTTCGGCAGTGTCGGCGAAGACTGCAGGTTATGCCTGTGGGATTTCAACGTCGGCATGCTGCACCGGCCCAAGGCGGTACGTCGTTTTGTTCCGGCTCCCCAATTTCCCCGCGTCGAATCGGGAACCTCGGAGAGGGGGCGTGAGACCAAAAAAAAGCTGACTTGTCGATGTAGGCTTCCGTTCATCACCGAGGCTCCGTATCATCACGGTTCGCCAATCCCTTGCAGAGACAAGAGACGGCCAACACGTCGGCGAGCCGCATCCGGTCCAACTCGACTCTGTCTGGAGGGGCAGTGGACGAAGACGGCAGCAGCATCGTTCATCCTGTCGAGCCTCGTGCGAGGATCGCCATGCTACCTCCTGTTTCTGTATGTTGCCTCGGTTCCTCACTTCCACATGAAGTTCTACATCTTGTCAACTTTTTCTTCTTCTCGAGGATGCTAACACTATCGACAAATAGTCCAAGGCAGTTGATACCCATCCCCTGTGCTGGCTGGAATTCACAGAAGAAGCCATCATCACAAGTTGCAAGAATGGTAAGCCATTGGACCTCGCACCGAGGTGTTACAAGCCTCAACGGATACATGCTGACATGTGAACCCCCCAAAAGGCCATATCAGAACATGGAATAGGCCGACTGATGCCCCGGTGCCGACGGAGGGTGCCTCTCAACCATCTTAGCCGCATACTCGTCTTTTGGTGGAATGATAATGAGTTGGCTACCCTTTTGTCTTTCGTTTCGTTGCAGATATTGGGGGAGTCGAGGTGTAGAAATCATGTCAGCCGATGCATCACCCCTCTACGCGGGGGCTTTGTCCATAATTCTTTTCCAAAAGTGCTTTTTCGCTCAATTTCAATCAAACCATCCATGTCCAACTGCAGTATTATGTGTCAAAAGATGTCATTTCAACTCTCTTTTCGGTTTTTGCCTCAATGCTCTGTTGATGTGCGTTTCCATCATGAGGGTTTCGAGATGATCATGACGTGACGCGATCTGCATGTGATTTGAGGATCCCCAAAGATGTCCAGGAGTTCCCACTGTGAAAAGGATGCGCCACTCTTGAGACACAAAGCTGCATTGGCAGCACTGGCAGCGAAATCAAAGATGCGGCTCCGTAGTATAATAGTGGGCTCTGGGCTTCTGTACATCGGTCGAGAGCGTCGATGGACCCCCTTGGCCCTAGTGTTCCATTGGGGGCCCCTCCTTACAAGTTACCAGCCACAATTGACTCTGTGTGTATCTCTGCGACATCGGTTCGTCGACAATCCGTTGGTTGTCGCACGGCGGCGCGTGGTGTACGAACACACTACGGTGAGAGAGAGAGTGCGTGGGGGCTCCACCACGCTCGACGCCACGCCCAGCCATGTTTGATGGAAATGGCAACAAAACGGGTTACGTCTGCATGTAGCAGTGGGTAGCGGGAACAAACGCAATCCAAGCTTGGCTCAGCCGCCAAATATTGCAGGGCCCAGGCACCCAGTGAAACATCAGAGACAGAGAAACGGGAGAGCGGGAGAGGAAACCCGGCCCAGGAAAAAAAAGAGTCTATCAAGTTCCCGATCCACGCTCGACGAAAAGAAGCCGGGACGAAAAGTCGAACGGTTACCGGCGCAGACTTGCAGGGTCATTGATGCCTGGGCTACGTCGTCCCGTTCCTGACCCGGGAAAGGTAGATAGCACATGCTTCTGGAACGGCGTCCATATTGTTCAAGGACGAATCGAAACGGGACCCCTCCTTCAATAAAGTCATGGATCATTGACCTTTTTTACTTGTCAGAAAGCAGGGAATGGAAATTCCCGATGTCCCCACTGTTAATTTGATATGCGATAGGTTCCTGGGAGTCTGCTACAGGTCAAAGACGAGTAAGAATGGGTGTCGTGGTATCCGTATCCGTAACACGAAGAAAAACACCTCGTTGAGCGAAACCTGGCGGAGCCTTTTTCACATGTTGTTGGTGGTGAATGGCGGCCTCGACACGCGGCGCCATAGAAGCAGGGTAGATGCTGAGGCTCTTACTCGTCGTCCAACGAGACTTTGATGAGGCTTTTTGAGCGGTGCAGCCGCAAAGTGTTTTAATGTGCAGTAGTATCGCCGCAATGTGTGTCTGAGATGCATGCGGGCGTATCGGGAGATCCACGTGTATGGATGCAGAGCACTGTTGGAAAATTTTCCCTATGTCGCCGCAAGCTTCGATCATTGAAGCTTCAAACCTTCACGCCCCTCTGTAGTGACAAGGCGTTGGCGCGCCGCGCAGATAACGGGTAGACGGCCCACACTGAGCGGTTTGTGTGCACCTGCATATCAAGGAGCTTACCCTAGCGTGCCTAGGGAACTCGGGAGCCAGGAAGCAAGGCTGAGGACGAGTCCCACAATCGTGGTCTAAAGTGAAGGTCCTACAGGTCGAAGCCGGTCTGTATGTAGTCTATACTGCTACAGGAAGGGTGCGGTATCAAGGTTTCCATCCCAGGAAGCCCAGGAATGTATTAAGAGGTGCGGCGTGGCCCCTCCTTTTTTTCACCGCTGCAAAGGGCCGAAGGTGAGAGATTTCGGAGAGTGGATATGCGCAGGCGGCGGTAGTTGGCGAGATTTTGAGATGGGGCCAAGCTTCGTGACTCAACCTGGCTTGGTGCCCGAGATGGATCTTGCCCAGTTCAACATTGTTGAAACGATGGGCCTGTTTGGTGATTTGACCACGTTCAGCGACGCAGCGAGCCTCTCGTACACATCTGTTGCCATGTGCAGCAATTTACCAAGACGGGAGAACGCATAACCGCTGCAGTTGAACATGTCTGGACGACCCGCTCAGTTCCGACGGTTCTCATTCGATTTTGCAAGCGAAGATGAGCAATGAACGATGCTCAGGCCATGATGTGCACTGGGGCGAGACAGAACGGCCCAGACGAGACGAAGCCAGGGACCAAGAGACGTACGAAAGAGATGTCATGTTGATATCAGTGGGGCCCTAGGGTGATCTGACATCAGGTCCAGGAGCAGGCATGATGCTATCTTTGCACAAGGCCAGTCGATTGGGCGGGGGCCCGCGGACTGTAGACTGCGGATGCCATCTGCGGCAGCGAGCGAGCTGAGCCGTTGAGGCGCCAATCCTACGTACTCATCAAGGCGACGTGCAAGTTGCGCATCGTGGCATCGTGAATTCTTTGGATCTTGACCTTGTATCCGTACGGGGATACCTTGGTCCCTTGCAAGATGCGGCCCTTCTGTAGCGTACCTTAGCTTGGCGGGACAACGTAGGCGGAGCCTTGGTGGGTAATGGCTTGAGGAGCCTTGACCTCGCTTCTGCTAGTTATCCGCCCTCAGTGCAGCTTCACCGGACAATCTGACTGGGATTTATTCAGATGTCGAAGAAATGCGTGAATCGAGGTGGGATCCAAAGCTTTGAGGGCTACGATTGGAACGGCGAAAGGTTTTGCGCTGTCGCTTGCGTATGTGACAAGCAACCATCTACTTTGTAGCTTTGTGTGTGGAAAAGTGACGAAATCAAGAAAGCTTCAACACGGCGGCAAGTGGCTGCAGCTCTTAGAGTCGGAGCTTGAACTTCGTTGGTGACACAACACCGACTCGAACATCGGCAAGCATGTGTCCAGACGCCACCAAGGAAGTCTAACTCAAATATTGCTTGAGATAAAAAGCAGTTTCGCAGGAACTTGCCGGCCGATGTGCGATTGCGAGATGGATCATGGCTGCGCCGTTCACAAAGACCGAAACTCGCGCCCGCCGCCCGTATCTTGAAGCTTTCGATTCGGCGTAGGTCCGGGCTCGGCGCGGCTTCGGACCGCTGCACGGTGACTTTGCGGCTTAGTGCAATTTGTCGTTATCTCGGAGTCATTCTTCCTAGCGCTACGCTTATTGGATGCCAGCCACCCGTGGGAAGGGTGAGGGAAAAGTCGCAATCGCGTCGGAGAAAAGCAGGGTTGAAGGCGCCATTGTCGAAATTTCAGCGAGGAATCCACTCGAGATCGAGTCGGTGAGAGGTCCATTCTCCTGGAAGACTGGCACTCTTTGTTTTTTTCTTTCCTCTTGGTCCTTGGCTTTGCCTGAGCCCTAGGGGGTTCAAGCCCTCGCAAATGGAGAAGAGTCGCACTGCGGACGGTGCTGGCCGAATGATCGTATGGTAATGGATTGATTTCTGTCTCTGGTTCATATGTTTCCTCATGCAGGATTAAGTGGCAGCGGAAGCGCTGTAACCGCGGCCATTGTCGGTTGATAGACCGGGACTTGAAGCGCAGAGACTCGGAGCCCTCTGACCAGGATCAGGTTTCTCAGAACTCAGGTCTCAGGGCTCAGGAGTCGCTTTTCGCTTCTTCGCTTCAAGCTGGAACGAGCAGGGAGCATTCCTGGCTAGAGCAATCAAGGCCTGGTGCTTATCGGTGGAGATTTCACCGAACCCTCAGAGCGCAGATGGGTATGCCCATAGCAGGGCTCGGTCCAGGTCCGGGCCCAGGTGCCAGAGTGCTTCCGCCTCTCTCCTGGCGGCGATCTTCCAAGCAGCGGACCAGAGTCTGGCAGGGGTTCAGGAACAATGAGGGCCGTCGTCGGTTCAGTGGACGGGAGTTTGATGGATGATGGGACAGTGGGAACGTGATGCCCAGGCCAGGTCGACAGGGCGTATGATTTGGACGGCCTGGAAGCTCTTTGTCTGCTGAGAATGCTGCATGTGGTGCTGCATGCGGCAGACCTACCCATTCAAACGGGCCCGACAGAGGAGCTGGACAATTTGACTTGCATCGGCTGCCCGCAGGTCTGCAGATGCCAATACGGAGAGGTCATGGCCTCAAGCGCGACCGTCGCCCATTAAGCATGATGCGAGACGTCCAAGTCGGTCGTGAGGTGCAGAATCGGAGAGCTGTGGGATGCGAAGTGCTGGTTCCCCGTGTGACTTGGGGCACTGGGTGCCCCGAGCACATCCATTTCCCGTTTTGACAACATCGTGAGATTCTATCCGTCAGGTGCACTCAAGGTTACGGTGGGGGTAACTCAGATATGGCCACAGCGGTCGTCCTGTCTTTTTTCTTTTCCATTTTGAGACCTCCGATGTTGTACATGCTTGAAACAAGCAATGGCTGATCATGATCCAAGCCTCTGCCGCTCAGACGCAAGTACCATGTACCCCGCCGTGCTCTACTAGAAGAGTCTCATGATGAATGATGTTTATGACTAGTGACTGCATCTGAGAGACGATCTTTGTTGGAAGCTTCAACGTCAGCCAGCAGGATTTGGCCCTGCGCATCTTCGATAGCGGGTGTGGGGGTCGCCAATCTTGCCCGTAAAAGGCCACAAGAGGCATGCCAGTTGGAATGACGGGCAATGGCCTCGGTCGAGACTGGCAGCTGAAGATGATGGATGCGAGAAACCCCCCATGTATCACGACGATAGAGTCCAGCGGGTAGGTCTTGGCTCCTTGGGTGTCTTGCAGGTGGACGAGATGGTTGCCAAAGCCACAATTGGTGACGATGGTGTTTTCGAGGCGGTCTACTGGCGTATCGTTGCTAGCCTAGGCTGCGTCTTAGTTGCATTGGCGATGAAAGACGGTCGATATTCGATATGAGATGTTGGGTGCAAACCAACACACTACAGAAGCGTGTATCAGTCAACGTAGTAATTTCCAGGCAAATACAGTAGAGCCCGATCAAGGAGACAAGTACCACGCGGGTTGCAGCT